CTACTGGAGCGTAAAGGGAAATGTGAAAGGCGGCGTACACAGAGGGGGGGTTTGTGTAAGCAATGTGATACGGTGCCTGTGTGAGAAATGTGTTCACATGGAAAGATATTGTGAAAGAAAAGAGCAAGAAAGAGTGAGAGAGACAAGGCTGCTCAGTGAAGGGGGGCAGAGAGAGGAGGAGACAGACAGAGAGGGAGGGAGGGAGGAGGGAGTGTGGTGGGGGAGGAATCAAGAGTAGAGCAAGGCGTGCTCAGACTGAGAGTCTGAATCTGAAGAGGAAAGCTGGTGAAGGTTCACTGTTATTTCTCCTGCCACACACAGAATTCTCCTCTACGGAAGGATTTATCTTTTTTTCACTCTCATACTTTGAGGATTTTATGGACCTTGGACTGCTGAGAAGTCTGATAAATTCTAAAATCTTCCTTAAACTGTGTGGGACAGATCCATTATAAGCAGGACATCAACCAAGATTTACACACTGATCATTGTTCTGATAATTTTGTTTTTCCTTGACATGGGCCTTAGGGAAGGGAGCTTCTTATTCTTGGTTAAAGTTCTATCAATGAGAGTGTTTGTTGCTGATGGTGTGTGTGTGTGTTGTGTGTGTGTGTTGTGTTGTGGTGTAGGCTGGGTAAAAAAAAGGGAAGGTTGGACATTTTGTAACACTTCAGTTGTTGTACTACTTCTGTTTCAGTGAAACACAGAGTTTTCTAACAATATGTGGCAGCTACAGAATGTGTAAATGTAATTCTTTTATTAGTATATTAGCCGTCTATTTCTGATTGTCTCACTTTTAAATAAGCCCAGACACTAATGTGACAATTATGGTCACAACTTGTGAATTTCATAGTAAAAAGGGGTGACATTTTAGAAACCTTTAATTCTAGCTCACATTGGGTCACATCAGGAATGTTAACCTCGTCAGACAGTGATCACTCTACAGCCCTCCAGCTGTGTTTGCTGCTGTGCTGTATGTACAGAACTGCTGTCACTGGACTGATGCTGCAGGACTGAGCAGAGCAAGTAGAGCAAGTGCTCAGGCAGTTGGAGTAAAATAAACCCAGACCCGAGTCACCACAGGAAGAATCTATAACCAACAACCTGGTGTGTACATCTATGTCAGGCTGATTCAAGAGACTCATCATAGCAAATAATTTAACATACTGCGTACATCAGTACAATATAGACTACAGAGTGTAACTTTGTATAAATATTTTTTTAATTCCATCATTGTACATATGTAGTAGTATGTCAGAATAGAAGGTGTATGATATTCTGCTATTCTTGCACTGTGGTTAACCACAACCAAAAGTACTGTCTCACTAATGGTTCACGTTTTGCAGCAGAAGCAGAAGTTCTAAATATTAAATTTGCTCTGGTCTATTTTTTCATATTAACAATGGATCAAAAGACTATGTTTAATGAAACAGGTCACTTGTACTGACAACCCCATCAAGAATTAACACCCAACAGTGCAGTTTTTTAATTTTATTTTTTTAGATCAATTTTGGCTTTCAGGCAACAATGTGGTTTTGGTTGTCATCACATCGAAGTTGTTTCTAGAAGCAGCAGGTTGCTGTTTTCAGCAATTGTAACCTGATAAAACCACCCACGCCACAAAGAGAAAATTAGTCAATTGTGTGTGAATGAAGTGGAACATGTACCAGCTAGGGAGACAAATAGTTTCTCAGAACCCAGACATAAAACACAGATAAAAGCAGAGTGAATATTAGACTTGGACTCCAAATGAATTCTAGTGTTTAGAGCCTGACCAATATATATCGATATTTGCCAGTCAAAGACATATCTGTATCAAAGCGGTACTGGCATAGGGGTAGTTACTCAAAAAAAATGTATTTATTACTTATTACTCTTTTCAAAAGTAATATTATAACTTTACTTATTACTTTCTACCAACAGTAAAAAACTTTAGACAAAATTTTGAATTGAATAGAATTGTAATGAGAATATTTCCAGTGTTTCCATCTTCCAAACTAGTTTCCTCCATGATTACAAAAATTAATTCAAGGATGTGATCAGATTGTTGGATTTCAAATCAATAGAGGGTGACAACAAAAGTGAGGTTGTAACAAATTATTTTTTTGGGGGGGGATATTGTCGATTTATAATACTGTGGCATGCAACGCGGAGTAAAAAAGAAGAAGCAGCTCTCAGCAATCTCAATTTATTAAATTATTTGACGTGTTACAGAATATTTAACATAAATCTTTTTTAAGAAAGTTGTTTAGGAAATCAGCCTTCTCAGTACCTTTGCAGAACAATATTGGTGCAATATCGGTACACAATCCACATAGGAGAGGGGAAAAAAAATCACTATTTAAACAACCATATAATAATGGGCAAAATGTTCCCCTCTAAAAACTGTATAAGCAACGTGAACAACAACTTTATGGCTATCGACTATCAACTTCTGGCAACTTTCTCAGCAGCAGAAAAACATTCCCTTAATTAAGGCCTTTGGGTTATAAGAAAATGCAGTTCCTGGCATGCATGCTTTTACCTCACATATGACACAGAAACGGAGACAAACCCCAGTGTGTGCAAAGAAGGAAACAAGTCAGTCAGTGAGGACAAGGCTTTGGCTTTACATAGAACTTCCACTTTCCATCAGGCCTAAAGGTAATGCAACAGGATGAGAGACAGGCAAAAAAAATGCAACACACAGTTTGTAAAGAAATTTGGTACAGAAGGGACATACAAACAAGACAGTTTATGTGACAGACAACTATTCTGTGTTTATTGGTGAATGAAAGTCAGCTGCAAGCTGAGCACAAAGTCTCTCTTTGTGTATTTTCAGTCTTAGTTTCTGTCCACAGTTATTTAGTCATAAAGTTAGACTCAGTCAGACTGTTTCACACACTCACTGTCACTGGCGAGCAGGTCCTCCTAAAGTGGCGTTACTGTGAGGCTCCAGCTTCATTAGAGAACAACAGAGGGCTCATTGTGATGGAGGGAGGGAACCACAGAGGGTAGGCGATATTTTTTCACTCACACCATTTGAAGGGGGCGCTGTTTTCTGCCTTACCAGTGACTCATTAGTCAAAAAATGTGACTGACAAAAAAATGTCCTTGCTCTCTGAGGAACATGGTAAGACAGTTGCAAGTGGTTACGAGAGAGAGAGAGAGAGAGAGAGAGAGAGAGAAGGTTACTGTGAGTCATGTATCCATGTTACCCAGATTAACACACCAAACATGAGCTCATCTGGTCACAGTATCGTTAAATCCAACTAGTTGATAAAAATACTAAATGATTCCAAAGGTTACCCCCTGTATAAACACAAGCACAAGTCTACAGCCAGGCTAGTGGCTTAGTTTTAGTTTAGTTTGCTAAATTTAAGTTAAGGAATTACCAGAGTTATTGCAATTCATCCCAAGGGGAATGTTTGCCCCAAAATTCAAGGCAGTCTATCCAAGAGTGTTGAGACATTTCAGTCAGAAAGTCAGGCGATCATCAAAGTCATTACTGCGAACCTGGAAAATATGTACAAAATTATATGCCAATCCATCTATAGAGATTGAGATATTTCGCAGGATGAGCGAAAACCTTGACCTGTTGGTGGAACTAGATGAAAAGTCAGAGGATCATTAGGCTTCATCCTCTGGGGACTATGCACTTCTGTACAAAATTTCATGACAAACATCCAATAGCAGCAGAGAAATTCAGTCTAGACCAAAGTGACTGGCCTACTACAGACTAACTAACTGCCATCACTCGTGACCAATTCTGCTGGTGTGGTCGGTCGCAGTCAGGTCTTCTGCTGTTCATCAATTTTTTCATTATGCTCCAAATACTTGCCTCCTCAATCAATCATTAAATATCCTACTTCTACAGATGTGTTTTGGAGTTATGAGGAGGCAATGCAAAAGTGGTGTACTTAGCTTGGGAAACTTTGAGGATGTGCAATATACTGAGCATAAGGAGCATTGATGGAGAAGTGGAATTTGTCATGAGTGATTTGACAAGATTCTGTTATTTTGCCATTGCTCTGGGTCACGATTGCTGTCAATACAGGCAGACTGCAGCTGCTTCCTCTTTAGCGAGGGTTATTTAGAAAAGAGGAACATTGGAGGTACTTTACTTCTGACATGTGAATTAAAAACATCTTATAATGTAAATTATGTAATATCTCAGCAGCAGAACTGCTAATTCTCAACTTTTCTGTTTTGTTATATGTTGCAATCAGTGGCACGCCCTGCTCTAAGGCAAAAATTAAAATGGGCCACTGATGTGCACAGGGTTACACTTAAGGTTACATTTTTGTGTGTTGACAGTATATATAGGTGTTGCACCATCATCAGTGAAGTAGCTCAACAAAAGGATGACTTGGGATGTTCAAATCCCATTTCTGGGCAAAAAAACATGCTTATAAAGGGCCTGACTCAATAAGGGCAAAATGCACAGGTGTTGTTGCTCTGCTTTATGGTCTTCTTTGTTATTGTAAGATTTTGAACTGTGAATTGAAACCAAGTGACCTCTCTCTTGCTCCCCACAGGCTTACTGTGTATGCTGGGAAAATGTGTCTCTGGCTGTAAACCTGGCTACAACTCACAAGGCATTAGATGTGTTGGTAATTATCTGCCATGACCTTTAATTTTAACCCTGGCTCTCCACTGTGTTTCTTCTGTCCACCAATACTATATTGAAGCTTCTACTTCAGACAAGAACTCTCAGGAAGAAGTGCTGCTCCCATTATGTAATACCTCTTACTGGAGTTGACCAAGAAAAGTACCCTTTTTTGATAACATTCCCCTTCGTTTTTCCATTTTAGGCATTTAAGCACCACTTGTATCCAGAGTGGATTACAATGAAAACAACAGTAGAAAGAGGTTTAAATTCTTACATCACTGCAATTTCAAGGAACCAAAAAGAAATACAAGTGTATTGACTGCAGTGCTGTAACCTTAGATTGGTGATCATGATGGACAGAGGAGCTAGAATAAAAAGAGCTAATAGGAAAGTTTGCTTAAATGACACGTTTACTATTTACTGACAACATAGCAATGCACTGTCACACTAAAAACAGCAATGTAATTGTTTTCTCTTTAAATTATATATGTGTATCCAAATTTACAGATGCTGACGAGTGCGATGAAACCCCTGGGCTATGTGGCAAATACGCGAAGTGCATGAACACAGAAGGCAGCTACTACTGTAACTGTCTGCATGGGTACATACACGATAAAAAGATGGTGAACTTCACAGCTATAGTTGGGCAGTGCCAAGGTGAGTGTGTTATTGTCAGTGTGTGTGACCAGTGTGTCTCTGTTGTCCAACCGGTCTGACCCATCTTCACTTGTTCTTCTGTCAGATTATAACGAGTGCACCAATCAAGTCAGCATCTGCGGTCAGGGTGGTAACTGTTCTAACCAGATTGGGAGCTACATCTGCAACTGCCATTTTGGGTACACTAAAAACAGTGATCAAGGACCGTGCATAGGTGAGTAGAGTCTACTTCTTTGTGCCTGCACTGGTCACGTTTGAAGTTAATGGTGGTGCTGTGCTGGAAGTTTGCTGAGATCAGCAAAACACTATGCTCAACAGAATCATAGAGGTGAAAGTTTACCCACCCCAACAGGTGCCAGTAAGTCAAGTACATTGTCTCCACCAAACTGGGAATCGGTGGGGGTTGCTTCAAACAATTGCTGCAACTTTTTAAAACCGTATTTCTGTATTTGAACTTCCCTTTTAAGATCACTGTAATCTATCTATCTATCATGTTTTTCCTATTTTACACAACTGCTTTCGTCACGTTTTGTGCCAGTAAGGAAGCTGCTGTGGATTGGAGCAGAAGCAAAACCTTTTTTAGCCACCAAAAGAAATCTATTTCAGATTAAGTGTACATTTTATTTATTTATTTATTTTATTGGCAACAAGAGGAGGATATGGTGTTGTTTCTTTTATCAAAAGTTACTTTAAACATCCAAGAAACTGTAGTGACAATGTTGATTGTTGATCAACTGCCTGTTGATCTCAAAAAGATCATACGTGCTTTTGTTTCATCATGCTTCAACTATTGTAACTCTCTGCACTCTGACCTAAACCACAAAGCCATCGCCTGCCTCCCACTTTAAATTGCAGCTTTTAATTTTGGCAAGACAACAACTCACGACACTGGTTGCTGGGGAAGTTCAGAACTGTCTCTAAGATCCTTTTGCCAACAATGAAAGACTGTGCCCCTGGTTACATTGTTTGTTCATTTTGCAGTACCTACTACATTCAAATTTGTGCTAACATGCAGAATAGCAGCACACAGACTCTATTTACCTGAAAGGAACAGAACCTTAATTAGTATCATTGGTATTGCCTGTGTTTACTCTACTATTTCATGTAAAAATGTGAAAAAGGTTTATGATTACTAATGTCTCTGTTCCCCCTTCTTACACAGACATAAATGAGTGCACGGAAGCGGAAAATAAAAAAGAAAACCTCTGTGGAGTAAAAGGGACTTGTAAAAATGTTAATGGGAGTTATTTGTGCAAGTGCCCAAAAGGATACACTAATTATGGCAATGAAAGGACCCCGTGCTCAAGTGAGTGTCTGCATACACGATTCCTTTTCATCACCTTTACTTACTTTATATTAAATATAAATTTAATGGCTTTCATTTCCTTATATAAAACCTCTTTTTTTATTCACATCCTTCTCGATTAAGCTTCCCGTCACAGATATCATTGTTCTAGCTGCTATTGGATATCCACACTCTCTCTCTCACACACGTTTTTGCTGTTATATATCTATTGCCAAATCTTGTGCTTTGTGTTATAGCTTTCTGTATCTTTTGGGCCCCAGTTTCCTCTTTTCTGTGAACCTTGCCTTTACTTTCTGTGTTGACTGATTCCAGATAGTGTATGATGTAGTTCTCATAATGGGCAGCATCAAACTCAACTGACTGAAAATGAAAATCAAGATGATTGTCTGATGTTTCGCTCCTTTCTATTTAGAGCTTGACTGTGACAATGCCAACAGTGGGCCTGCACCGGTATGTTTACTGTAAAATACAATAAAGTATAAAATGATTAGTGTAATACTGCATACTCCAACATTGTATTAAAGTCTTATAGATGATTTATTTGGCACTTGGCACTTGTCTCGGGTCAGTTACAGTATAATCCAGCACCGTGGGTCTTGCTAAAGGACAGAAACAGCCAATTTTCTATATTTTCTAAACCACCCTATAGCCCTGTAGGGGTTAGTATACACAAACTTTAGTCTCATTATTCTGTCTCTCATGCCGTCTCTGTCTCTCAGGCACTTGGGGGCCTGGCAGACATTTTGTTCATGATGAGAAACAGCTGTCTGGCTCTGTCTGACCCAAGCGTTGCTGGTGAAGGGAAGGCTGCTGGAGAGGCGCTACTGGAGGTCAGAGCAGCACATACGAAACACAAACACACACATTCTTACACATGCAAACACACACAGTATTCTCATTTCCCTCTCTTGTGTCCTGCAACATGGACAGAAACTATTCACAGCGACCGAGGCCATCCTGTCCCCTGGTCACCTGAACAGCAGTGACGATGTGAGCGGACTGCTCAGTACGGTGGAGAAGGCTATAATGCTCATTGGTCCACAGCTCAAGGACAGCCACACCAAGATAGAGACCACTGAGACAGGTAACAGTGTTCATAAGCTCAGCCATGATTTGTGTACTGTATTTGACAAATTATAAGCTTACAGTCATTTCCCATGGACTATGATGTATGTAGATTATATATAAAATAATAATAAATAAAAGTGGGAAAGCTAATGTAAACTGTATCATCTATTCAAATAGACACAGAGATTACAGTAGAGAGGGGGAAGACTCCACCCACTGGATCAATCCATCTGACCACTGAGAATGCTACACTCCATACTGACTGGGCAACGGCCGCTGGGACAGGATCATACCCTGGTAAACTTCTCTACTTGCGAAAAAATCACAATTTTCATGAATATCAAAGACTACCATATTTCTCTTTGTCTTCCACAGGTTTTGCTATGGCTGCTTTGCTGAGCTACAAGAACCTTGAGACCTCTGTTAACCACTCCTTTGAGGAGCTTACAGAATTTAAAAAAAATGGTGTGGATCCCTCCTTTAAAATCTCCTCTAAAGTTGTGTCTATTGTGGTCTCCAACCCATCCACTGAGAACCTGAGCCACCCTGTCAAAATCACCCTCAGACATCTAGAGGTAGTCCATCTTGTTCCAGTCTTTTCAGTGTGGTTCCACCTCTACACGCTTCTTTTGTTCATTATAGTCAAAACAGGAGTACTGGAATATGAAGATCTAAATGAAAGACACAGCCTGATTCTGACCTAATGATTTGTTTTGTGCACAGGAAAGAGATAAGTCCCGTGAGGTGAGCTACATCTGTGCATACTGGACTGAGAGAGGTTCCTGGTCCACAGATGGTTGCGATCAACAGGACCTTAATGACACACACACTGTGTGTACATGTAATCATCTGAGCAGCTTCGCTGTGCTCATGGCACTCCACCCTATTGAGGTAAGAAGCAGACACACACACAATAAAAACCTAGATAAAATGTCTATCTTGCCATGGCATTTAGTGTTGGAATATTACTGGTAATCTACTTGTTCTTTAGAATGAGTGTAAAACCCCACTAAGTAGATTTTTAATCTTGACATCGATAGAAATCAGCAACTCTGATGATGCAACATTACAGTCTTGCTGCGCTCATCAACCTGGCAGGCAGCTGTTTTAGCAAAGAAGCTCTGATAAATAATCTACCTGCTCAGCAGCAAATGGCAGACAAAGTTAGTAACTAGCTTGTGAACACAGTGGCACATCTAGCAGCTAAAGAACCACATATTTCCCTCAGCAGTTGGTGGAGACCAAAAAGTAGAGTAATCATTGGACTTTTTGTCGGGTGGCCAGAAACACAACTCGATATGAATGCTGATGTTTGTGCCGTATCTGCTTGAGGTGTAAATACTTATAACTCACTTATATACGGTAATATATCAATGCTGGGTTAACACCTTGTTTACACCTTCCCAAAGTGGCCAAAAGTGTAGTTGTTGTGTATGATGGACAATAAATTAGCTTCTCTCTTTCCCTCTCTTATTCACTCACCTGTATGCCAGTGTAAAGACACACACATTATGCTGTAAATGATGACCTTAGAACTCCAACTAAACCCCTCCGCACTTGTATCTTCTATACTAGCACACCTTTGGGCTCCAGGTGGTGACCAAGTTAGGGCTGACCATCTCCCTGCTGTGTCTCATACTGTCCATCCTGACATTCAAGTTCTGCCGCTCCATACAAGGGACCCGCACCACCATCCACCTGCACCTCTGTATCTGCCTCTTCATGGCGGACCTCATCTTCTTGGCTGGCATTTCACAAACTAAACCTGTGGTATGTTTGTGCAAGCAAACAGTGACTTCAGTTACACTGACTGCGAGTATTGACCTTATCTTTAATAAGAAAGTAATTTCATTTAAATGTTTACAATGGGTTGAACTATTCCACTCAGGTTGCCACAAAGTATAGTTAAATAGTTCAAAACATTCCTGTAATATTGAGCCCATCCAGGCACTTTCAGTGAAATACCCTTGTAGTTATCTTGGACCCCCCAAAAAAGGAACACTACAATTGAGAACCAAAATTGTAATGCCTGTGTCTTAATCTGTGGTGGAAAACAATTCGCATTGCCCCTATCTAGAGCTATTGTTTGGTTTGTCCCTTCTGGGCTACTGTAGAAACATGGTGGTTCTAGGCAACCTGCAGCTATTTTAGATAAAAACGGCATACAAAAATAACATAACAATTCCTATTTTCAGTTGATTATACACTAATGAAAACATACCTATGAACATTATATCCCATTACTGCCAATAGAGCCTCCTAAATGTTACACACTCGTCCTTTAATTCATTTAATTTGACCGTAATCTAATTGAGGTCATGAAAATATATTAAAAATATTATCTTGTTCAGAATAACTGCACTAAATGCAGTGACAGAGATATTTCATTCCTCTGCTCCTTCCTCTCTGATCTTCTATCTTTTTTCCTGTTCTCACATCACGAAACAGGGCGGCTGCAGGTTCGTGGCAGCGATGCTCCATTTCTTCTTCTTGGGAGTATTTACTTGGATGCTGTTGGAAGGGGTGCAGCTGTACCGTATGGTGGTGCTGGTGTTCAATGCCACCATTCGGCCCCTCCACTTATACATCACTGGTTATGGGACACCACTTGTTATTGTCATTATATCTGCCATCATTAGACCAAAGGGATACGGCACTGACCAGCAGTAAGTGTTACAGTTAGTACTTGTGTTCGCATCCTTGTTGTGTGGTATAAGTTCCATCAGTGGATGACGCTGACCGGATTTATCTTGGTGATGTAAGGGAAACCATGCACGTGTGTCCTTCTTCCTAACTAGCTGCTGGTTGTCCCTGGAAGACGGCCTCATCTGGAGTTTCTTTGGCCCTGTGTGCCTCGTCATCATCCTCAACGTCTTCTTTTTCATCGTCACCGTCTGGAAGCTTGCCCAGAAGTTCACCAGCCTCAACCCAGACCTCACCAAACTGCACAAAATTAAGTCAGTCTGTGTGTTTGTTTGCTTGTTTGTTTCTTTTTGTGTGTCATGCCGTTGTAATGTGTGAAGTAATGTGAACCACACCTGTGCACAATGCACAAGCTCTGAGCTGATGCGTATGTTGGTCAAATGGGGAAGCTTTGGGATCTGAAAAATGGTTGGAAAGAATGTAAGCGTTTTGTGAGGGAAAAATGTAGAGAATGTTTTTATAATACCGACTCCGCTCTCTAATGGGTTGCTACTGAGGGACTTTTTCCCATAACTCCATCTATGCATGCTCATTTTTTCACTCCACTCATTGCTTATGTAGACAACACTGTATAAACGTGCAGCTGCAAAACACATCTCAGCAAAAAGAATCCATCCTTGGATATGCTGGTTCATCAATCAGTGACGTTCAATTTAGTCCAGGGAATTGGGAAAGTGAATTTATTGCTCTAAAATTGGAGGAGCAATTTTTTCAGTTAAACTCAGAAAGCATTAGATTTTAATCCAAAAGGTGTCTGTCATTTGGAAAAATGTTATCTCAACCAATTCTTGGTAACGTCAGGGAGTCTTGAAAGAAATGCTCTCTTGATTCTGACAGACTAAAATCCAAAACAAGTCTTATCTTGTGTTTTAGATGGTTAAACTTTAATGACTCAATGTGAATTATATAGCGAGTTATTCATGGGAATAAGAGGGATACGTCAACAAACACTACTATAAAAGGCCCATGCACAGTACATTGCCAGAAACTGAAAAATAGTGTTTCTCTGTGAGGATTTTTTCATTTTATATTTATCAGTTGCCTTTGGCTCTTCTTCTTCCACCAGCTTTCAATAGACGGTAAAGTGAAACATGTCTCTGTTCTGTAGCTGCTCTGCTGAAACCCATCCCCTTTTTCTCTTCCTTTCTACTCTTGAGGGGGTTTCCAGATACTGCACTGGTAACTGAGTCATCTGTTTTGTTGGGTTCATGTTAATCTTTCATTCTCTATCTGTTACCCTTTCCCCCAACCCCCATCCTTTTTTTTTTTTAAATCTCCAGAGCGTTCACAGTGACGGCTATCGCCCAGATGTGCATTCTGGGCCTGATGTGGGTGTTTGGGTCTTTCATGTTTGGAGAGGGCACCATAGTGGTAGCATATATCTTCACTATCCTCAACAGCTTGCAGGGAGCACTGGTGTTCATCATGCACTGCCTACTGTCTAAACAGGTAGGATACAATGTAGCTCTGTGTGTGTGTGTGTGGCTCCTGTGTGTTCTGTGTGTGTGTGTGTGTGTGTGTGTTGTGGTGTGTGTGTGAGTGTGTGTGTAACTGGGTGAGTATGCATGAGGCTAAGAGAGAGATAAACACAAAATTAATAATTATAAAACTCCAACCACAAAGTGTAACGAGATTAGATTGCAATGGAATAAATTGTGTATCTTCTGATGTTCTGCTGCCCTCTGCAGGTGAGAGAGGAGTACGCCCATTTCCTCTCCTGTATCTGCACACCACAAAAGAAGAGATACTCAGACTTCAGCAGTACCAACCCTTCCAGTAGTCAGACACAAGTAAGCATGAAGTAACTGCACTCACTATCACTCTCTCAAAGTCACAAACACATGTACTCAACTGCTGTACTCAAGTACAAGTACTTCAGTATTTCCCTTTTATATTAACCAATACTCCATATTAACCTTCATATATATATATATACATAGAAATAAGATATGTACTTGTTATGGAGTATTTTTTAAATAAAATAAATAAAGTTCCAAAAAGTAAAAGTTTCCAACACTGCAAACACATTACATACAGTACGTTGTCTTACACTGTTTCTGAACTTGTGCTGTTTGTGTTCATTTAGGGTTCTCGGAGTGGGCAACACACCGGAGAATCCCAAATATGAAGCACTCTATCTTTTATTCCACCCAAAAGACTATCACACCTTTAACCTATCTGGGCTAAGTTAGTCCTCAAGGTTTGGATCACTTCAAATAAAAATTCAGTCATTATTTACTAACCTTGATGTCAACTCAATCTCTACTTTAGTTTTGTTGTACCATTACACCAGTCGTTCAATAGTACAACTACCCCATCCCTTTTTCAGGGTTTTTTACATTCTTTGGTTGAACTTCCCAAAGCAGACATATACAACTTAAACCAGGGGTTGTCAATAGGTATTGCTTGGCCAGGAAGGGTCACATGCCAAACACACCTCTAATTAGCCCCAGTAATTAAATCTCAGGCTTTCAGATCCTAATGAAGTTAATGGACCAAATCTTTTAAGACTGAATAGAAGATGAATAAATTGCTGTAAGACCATTTAACTCAGTGTTCTAATGGTGAATCAAGTAGTATTGATAATGACTGAGTTTTTGTTTAAGTTTGAAGTGATCCTATAAATGCGTCAGTAGGCTTCTAAAAGTGTTTATTCAGGAACTCTTTAAGTGAAAGTGAAGATATTTGAGTAGCTTATTGGTTCATCCATAACATATCACAATCATAATATAAGCTGTATTCCACTTGGAGTGATTAAAAGTAGTGCAGTAGATACTAATACAGACTATTTATTTTTACAATTGCAGACTAAAGTCTACATTGTGTAGGCTACAAGAAAATATGAAGTCTGCTCCCAATGTTTAAAGCATGAGCAAACAGTTTGCGCTGTAATTTTTTAATAATGTTTTATGTAAAAATAAGGGTGGACATGCTGCTTTTTGTTTTTGCGATCTTCACAGAAACTACTTGTTTCCATGTTGTAATGGCAAAGAAGCAAATGAGCCATGAATTGCCTCTGATGTTCATCTTCATGTTCCTGCAAATCCCGTGTGGGTTCCTGCAAGCATTCTATGTCTGTAGTTTCTTGATTTTAAACAAAATAGGTGATTTCTTTTTTTTTTAAATCACATGTGGCTATTTTTAAAGAATATTTTATTGGGTTACAATTGAGCTGTGCCTTTTGTCACTGGTGTATATTTTGTTTTTATTAACCATGAAATCAAATCCAGACCAAAATGTTTGCTGGACCACTCACAAAAACAACAGCAACCCACCCTTTTGATAAGCCTGCAGCTTCCTGCAATCAGCTGTGTTTATAGAATCAATGTTTTCTTATTATAGCTGTTAGTCTATGCCTCCACACATTGTAGGTGACTGTAAGGTATCACATCCCCGAAATAAGAACTTCAACCGTTTTGGTGAGGGCTACCGGGAGCTGTACAGATTTAAGTTTGTGTATTTTATTGCACTTTTTCTTTTGATAAAAAGAAGATAATTGAGCACATCCTCACTCACATATTGCATGGGAGAATGTAAAAGACTTGAGAACCAGCCTCACGTACAGAACCCCAACAGTTTACCTGTTGTAATAAAGCTATTGATTATATATTTTATATTTAATAGAAATCATGTCAATGACATTGATCTTCAGAAAAAAAAGAGACCTTTTGGATTTGGGTCTTTTTATGTGATTGGTTTTGTCTTATACTGTTTGTTGATATCTAAATTGCCTGATTAAGGGCATGTATGTGTTGGTTTTAACACCTAAACTGTTCTTCGGTTCTTACGTGTGGCTGCACTTTTTTTTGTGACCGTTGATACTTTTTATTCATGCATTGCAAGATGTATTTTTTATGTGAAAAAGCTATATACATTATGCAGCATTTTGTGAATGTAAGATTCTCATAGAATATACTATAAAAGTTCTAGTTTGAAGGTATATAAACCTATTTTTCTACTTTGTTATATGTTGTTCGGTACTGTTTTCTTTAATATGCAGCACAAAGTTTATTAAAGCTTCTACTTCATCTGAAAAATCTGTAAACTGTGTGGTTTATTTGTCCCTATGCAGATAGATAGATAGATAGATAGATAGATAGATAGATAGATATATTCAAGATCTAGTAGACAGATGCAAATAAGAAATGGGATTTTCAAAAACAAAAGCACAAAGTAAATTATTTTTTCTCTGTATAATGACAATATTGCATTTTTAACTGATAAATGATGTTGTCAGGATGTCAACAGCTCGACTCACACTAAGTCTACCTTCTGAAGAAATGCCTATAATTTGCCAGTAACTTCTAAATGTCTAAAAAAAAGTTGCAAGGACTCACCCACTTACTGTTACTGCGTCAAGGATACGTCAAGGAATGATAAATGAACCACCATGAAGATTATGAAAATAGCAATAATTCCTTCATTATTCCTGGGGTGGAGTGTAATTCACTCAGGTAAGTTATACTTCTGACGAGACCATTCAGCCACATGTCATAAAGTCAGCAACCGGACTCAGTGATGGCCTTCAAATCTTAGGCTAACATTAGCCAGCTAATGGTCATACAGACCGAGTATGTGAGAAAGAAACTGAGATAACTTCGGTTATCAATTGGCGCTATACAAATAAAAATGAATTCAATTCAATTCAATTGAAAACTAGTGTAGGCTACTCAACTGAGCTGTGTTTTACTTGTTTGGTATTTAACTTTTTTAAGAGAAATGATGTGCTTTATCTTTTTTCTTTCTTCATTCCGGGTGCCATAGGCTACTCCCGACATTTCACACTATGTTAAATACACAGTTCAAGGGGAAATATTGACCTTCTTCACTCCACAACATTATTTCCCCCCACAACACATCTTGTTTTGAATGCATTTCTTTTATTTTTGTGATGGAATTTGTGTAACGAACTATTATTTATTTTTTTCCCCCATAAAAAAAATGTATAAATCAGATTTGACATGTCCTCGCGGGGGAATGAATCAGACAGAGGAGCTCGTGTTCGTGACGCAGCAGTTGATGCGTCGCGACGTGCTCTCAGCTGCAGTGCTGCTGCTCGCCACGTACTTCACCTCTGACAGCTGCTGCTCACACTGCGCCTCCACGGCTTCACTGTGGACATAACTCCTCTCTTTACTCCTTGGTGGAGCAGAGTTCAAATTCCTGGACAGGTAAGCTTTCTCTCACCAAACCGTAGTTCTAGCTCAGTTTTTTTTATTTAATGAGCTTTATTGGCATGAAAACACATATTAACAGTTATAAAAGCAATGGCCGTAGTTAGTTGTAACTAATTAACAACGGCCACAGTTACAACTATAATTGTACCAATACGTGTATAAATGTGTACATATTTGTGCAATCACAAACCCTGGTATATAGGGCATTGGAGCACAAATATGTAACACAAACAACAACAAGAGTCAGTTTCAACATGCAGAAACAAGAAGCAGTATTTAGTTTGGTGGTGTTTGACTGGAGGTTGTGGCAAGAGTTCAAATATTTAGCTGTCAATTGAACGTTTTTTTGTTGTTGTTTTTTTTCACCTAGTACATATATTTGAGTTTGTCCTTTTCTGGTTGGTATTCAAATTGGGGATATTTGTGTAGGATTTTGTGGAAGAATAAAGCTCTACTTTCTGCCTGTTTGTCGCAGTGTAGCAAAAGATGTGTCTCTGTCTCCGCTGTTGTCTGTTCACAGCCTGTCCTCCCTGGGCAGCCAGGTTTGAGGACAAGTCTCTAGGGCCAGGCTGTGTCCACTAAGTGTGTACCTCAGTGGACACGTCAGTACGTCAGTGTCTTTCTCAATGTCTCATCAGTCCCAGTGGTCAGATATTCTGCCACTGTGTACTGTAGGTTCAGGTTTTTAAGTGATTATAAAATTAAATGGCTCTTTTTTCAGTTTTAATTTGAAGGGGGTTTCGATTGAATGTTTATCCCAGTTTGTATAATTAAGTTGTTGACTGAGTGGTCCCCAAACTTCACTGCCATACAGAACACTGGGTTCTATGCAAGGGGTCAGTTAGGGTGTTGTCTGATGTGCAGTAATTTGGGAGAAATCCAGTTTGACTCAGGATGTTGTGTTCATCTATCAAGTGCATTAGTCTGCTGTTCATAATGCTGCAGTACAGTTCCTCTATAATTCTTGTGTCAAATTTGTCACTGTTTTTTGTAAACTGCTGTTAGCTAAGACAGTGTTTAAAACTTTTAGGACAGCAAATTTAACGTTTAATATTTGAGTGTTCTATGTAAATGTGATTGTTTTGTGTGTGTCACCCTTTTGTCTCCCCACAGATCATACAATGAATCTGATGAGTGCTGTCATTGTGTGCCTCTGTGTGTTTGGGGCTGTCAGGCTGCTCTCCCTCCCCTGGCTCTGCAGCCTGTTGGCAGGGCTGGGGCTCTGCATGGTCCGGAAGGGTTCCTGGAGGTTCCTATATGTCGCTCTACGCACCATCAAAAGAGACCTAATGTAAGTACTTTTGTGTGAATGTGGTTGTATGTGCGTGTTTCTCCCATCATCATATTTGACACTTCAATCATCTCCCATGATGAATACTTCACTCCTATGTTTTAACTTTGTTTAAATCCTCCCTTTTCCACACCTCTCCATCTAAAAGGTGTCTGGTTGTTATCGTGCGAGTCAGGTTTTCCATGTACCGTAATCTGAAAAATAGAAGCACCATTCCTGCCCTGTTCGCCCAGATGGTGACAAAGCACCCAGACAAACCTGCTTTGATCTACGAGGCTACAGGAGAGGTGAGGACTCATCGAGGATTACAAATAAATCGGTCATGTTATTGTCAATACTTACTGCATATTCATTTTAATCCAGGTGTGGAGTTTCAGGGAGCTGCAGGAGCGATGCCATGCTGTGGCGCACTGGGCGCTGGCACAGGGATGGGCCGAGGGAGACGTAGTGGCCTTGTACATGGAGAGCCAGCCGTTGGTGGTGGCTCTATGGTTGGGTCTGGCTATGATCGGCATAGAGGCTGCGCTCATCAACTACAACCTTCGACAGCAATCATTACTGCACTGTGTCAGTGTGTCTGGTGCTCGGGCTATGGTGTTTGGGGCAGAGATGAAGGAAGGTAGGAGTATATCGTAGAATAAAGATAGAGATGTTGCGGGTACAGTTAGATAGCTGAAGATATTGACTGATAGATAATTAAATCAGGCTAATTTAATCTGCTACTTCAAAAAGGTGTGTTTTTGTTCTACATTTCTGACACTTTTGATTGTCTCCCAGCGGTGTCAGAGGTGAGCGACTCTCTGCAGCCCGACATGGTTTTGTTCAGCAGTGGTGAGCGTGATGATGAAGAGAAGCTCTGCAGCTTCAAGGTTCAGAGCCTGGACACCCTGCTGGACCGTTCGCCCAAACACCCACCACGCTACACACTCAAGAAGGAATTCAATGGTGAGACTCTGCACTCTGCGTAGAGTGTTTGTGCATAGGGGTATGACTGTGTTGCCATATCATGTCCTCAAGTAACATATCAAGAACAGTGCTGTAGTGGTTCCTGGAGAAGTGGGTATACTCTTAATATATACCCATCCAGCAAAGGATAAATACCCTGCTCTTGCAGTATTTAAACATTGTCACTTAACTTCTGCTGCTTGACTTTAGGGATTAAGGATCATTATGAAATGAACATTAGCCTCAGAAGATTTTGCAATCAGTACTGGCCCACAGACGAGTGAGACAACTACATAACTCACTCATGATAATTGGACAGCTATGTCATACCTTCGCTATCCTAGGAAGAACAATCGCCTGGGGATTTAGAAACGGGTATACCCAATGCCGACTGAAAAACAAGTGGCTGTACTCCGTATAGCTGTGTATACCCTGCACTACTGATCACAAAGTTTTGATTGTGACACTTTCTTTTCCTGGGCAAGCCCCTGCCTGTCAGCGCAAACTTCTCGCTGCCAGATTTCACTCCCTCTCGTCTTTTTATAGAGACTTTTTTGTTTTTTTTGTTTTAATCCTCTTGATTGCGCATGCACATAAGCACACACTCACCGAGGGCGAACAAATCATCAACTCACTTCAAGAAATGTCATACAACACAAGTGCATCGTGACAGATATTTGTTTTTATTTGATATAAAACATTTATCTTTCACCCTGAACTTCACTGTTGAGTTATTTGGCGTGCATTAACTTTACTCTTATCAAATTGCTTACCTGTCTTTGTTATCACATGACATTCCTAAGGTAATACTTTTCAAGTCTTTGCTTGCACAGCCTGTCAGACATACAGAGGATATAGAAAGAGAGACAGAAACATGTTAGGGAATGATGGGGGTGTCGGGGTGCATACCACAAACGTGAAACACTGTACTGAACAAGCATTGAACATTGCCTATAAAAATCCAGCTCCTAACACCTCATGTTTCTTTTGCTGTCTTCCCTCTGTTTCTCTCTCAATGCAGATAGGCTTTTCTACATCTACACTTCTGGTACAACAGGAATGCCGAAAGCAGCTGTTGTGGTGCACAGTCGGTGAGTTTGTCTGTGATCTCATCTCTGGGTCATTTTGAGTAATTAAAAAAGTCTTGAAAGCAAATTTAAAATTAAAATGAGATCCACAGTAGCAATTTTTAGCTGAATGCTGAAATGCCGAAAAGACAACTACACCCAAATGCATCAACTTTGATGATTGGCCCACACACATCTGACTGTATCTAATTGTTATCAAATGATTGCTGGAAGAATCTGTTTAGTTGAGAGGACCAGAGGAAAATTTAAAAGCTTTAAAAAACTGACATAAAAATGACCAAATTGCAGTAAGTGTTTCAATTCAAATCAGGACCATAAGGGTCTTTTGATGAGCTGAGGTCTGATGATGGATCTTTCTTGTCAGGTATTATCGCATTGTTTCGTTTGGTTTCCACTCCTTTGGCTTGCGTCATGATGACATCATCTACAACTGCCTTCCCCTGTATCACTCAGCAGGTTGGCCTCACTCCATTTGCTCTTTCTCAGCCATAATCATCTTTTCCTGTCTTTAACAAGACATATTGTTGCAGTGGCAGATTTATCTCACATCCCCTATAATAAATTGAATGTTCATCATTTTGTCATTCTGTGTGTGTGTGTGTGTGTGTGTGTGTGTATACACTGTATGTGTGTCTGCTTGTGAAAATGTGAATGTTTACAGGTACCATCATGGGTGTAGGCCAGTGTTTGCTCTTTGGTTTGACTGTTGTAGTCAGGAGGAAGTTCTCAGCCAGTCGCTTCTGGGATGACTGTGTCAAACACAACTGCACTGTGAGTACACACTGTCGCCAATTTCAATTAACGGTGTCTAGTGTCCACTGATTGTCTTCAACCAATACTGACTGAAAGAAGTTATATTGTTTTGTCCTTTGTCTGTGCCTTCAGGTAATTCTATACATAGGTGAGATTTGCCGCTACTTGTTGGCCCAGCCTGTCCGTTCATCTGAGGCCCATCACCGGGTTCGTCTTGCCTTTGGTAACGGCCTCCGTCCTTCTGTGTGGGAAGAGTTTGTTCGGAGATTCAGAATACGACAAATTGGAGAATTTTATGGTGCCACTGAGTGCAACTGCAGCCTGATCAACATAGACGGAAAGGTGTGTGTTATTTTAAATGACTTCAAGGAAAGAGTTAAGGATTTTCCAAACTGTATCCTGCCTCATGTGCATGTCGTACATGTCCAGGTGGGGGCGTGTGGCTTCAGCAGTCGTATCCTGCCC